TATTCATTTATGTAGCATCCCCACCCTGTTCTTTGGCTTGCCTTGGCATATTGTATATACCGAGGGTAACAAAATCACTTCTTAGAGAGTTGGCACGCAGGAAAGATATCCTGGACTTTCAAATATCACATTTTTCTTATGCATTCAGATATCCTTTAGAATCCAGCCAAGTACTTATCCTTATAAATACAATGTTATTGAAACACAGGCCCATTTGCTCATGTAGTCTCTATGGCAGCTTTTCTGCTCCAACGGCAGTGTTGGGTAGTTGTGACTACAAAACTTGAAGTATTTATTATCTAGACCTCTAGCGAAAGAATTTGCTGACCACTTTCTTTAGAATTATTTGTAGTCACTAAACAGGATGGAAATAACTGAAGATAAAACATCAGAGATTTGAATTCCACATGAGAAGAATTTTCCCTGGGGGGGGGGGAATTAGTAATGACAGGAGCTGTTATAAGAGGGTACAGAACAGTGTCCTTGGTTGCCTCTTTCCTCTCTGCTCTCCCAGCCCTCAATGACCAAGTTCTCTCCATTATTTTAAAGCACGGATGGCTCTAACTACAGAAGCCCCATACCACCTATACCCTCTCTCCTCCTCAGGTAATCTCAGCTCCTGTTACTATCAGTGTCACACTGTCCAACTCCACAGTGTGTGGTTTTGTTTTTCCTGCTTCAACTATAAGTAGAGTATGGAAGAGGGTTGTCCAAACACAGTTGCAGTGTGAGGCATAGCTGTTGTCCATGAAGTGGCGGGGAATCAAACACTTCCACCTCTGACCTCCTGCAGGCTCCTCCCACTCCTCACACCCAAGAAAATGCCAGAGGCAAAGTATCTTTTCATCAGTGTCCATGGGATGCAACTTCCATGGACACAGAGCCAGTAGAGGAGGATGAGACATGGATCTAGAGATAGCTGGAAACTCTCCTGCACATTCTCCTACAGGTTTTTAGGATGCTGCTGGACTGACTTAGCTCTGCAGTGATAAAAGGACCTGGTTATTGTAATGATATCAGTGCAGATGTTCAAGAGCTGGATGAGTCAAAAGACTTGAATAGGTGCATTTCTGCCCCTTTGAGTCTAACAAAACTGTACAGCTGTCAGACCTGAGGATTTAATAGTGTCTTGTCTCCCTTTGGAGGAAGGAAAAAGGGTACCAAGAAGGGATTAATCAGACAAACTATGGCTCTCATCTGTGCCTTAAAACAAATATTGTTTTCCCTCAAATGAAAGGAGAAAGTTTACAGCTAAAATATGAGCTGCTAAAAAAGATAATTCACTCACCAGCCTTCTCATCAGCTAAATGCTAGCACAGCTAAGAATGTCAACAGCCATACACTCATCCCGGTCTTACAAATATAAAGCACAGTGTGAAATGTCGACTTGTTCTGACCAGAAGCATCCTGGGGAGGGCTGAACAGTTTGGGTCAAGAAAAGGCCTCAATTTCTCGGGTGATTTTTATTGTTGTTACAGAGAGAACTGTACTTTCCATGAATATCCAGCTACCTGACACACTCCTGCTGGTGGAGGCAAACTTGTTGTCACTTGTCTTTCTCTCTGGGCTTTACCTCCCACATAGGAACACATTTTTCATTTCAGTTTCACCTGCCTGTCACTTTCTCCTTAAAAAGGATAATTTATAAAGTAAAAAAATCATCACTGTCAAAGACTATATTTTAGTATTACAAAACACACATGGATGATGTATGACTTTCTCTCTCTCTCTCTCTCTCTCAGACACACACACACACACACACACACACACACACACACACACACACACTGCACTACACATTTTTCATTTCAGTTTCACCTGCCTGTCACTTTCTCCTTAAAAAGGATAATTTATAAAGTAAAAAAATCATCACTGTCAAAGACTATATTTTAGTATTACAAAACACACATGGATGATGTATGACTTTCTCTCTCTCTCTCTCTCTCTGACACACACACACACACACACACACACACACACACACACACACACACACTGAACCCTCTCCCATCCCAAGACCTAAAACAAATAATTATAGTTAAGGCTCACAAACTCAATTTCCTCAACTTGCTATATCTGGACTATAAATTTCTTTATTTTGTGGTTCTTTCAGCTTAAAAATTTAAAGCCATTGCAAGGGAGTTGTAATTCCTAACTGAACAGCTTTATGATTTGATTATGTAAAATAAGAAAGTGTAATGAAGTTAATAGTGCCTTATTCTTGGAGGTACATTATGAGGAATTTTCTGCAAAATCTGAAAGTGGAAATTACCTCTGAGCCTCCTAACTCTTAAAAATACAGGTCATAATGATGATTGCAATTGAATTTCAATACTTAAGAATTTTATATATTTCTGTTTCTTCAAGTTTCCTAAAAGAACAACTTGTCTTTCTGGGATAATATGGAATGAAAGAGCAGGAAGAGACCTATGTTCTGCTCTTGGTGCAATCCTAGTTGCATGATATGAGCATAATTCTGACTATTCTTTCTATAAAGTAAAGGACTGGAAACTCATTCCCATTTAGCATACTATGATTAAAAAATAAAATAAGGCAAAGTAAAATAAAATACATGCCTTGTGAATGAAAAGCATAATGCGATACCATTTTTTTCATATTTTTCTTGTATTTTGCAGCCATCCTTCCCTAGAATCATTTCTAAGTACTTCTCTCCTACTTATGTGTGGCTTCTATGTGGAGCTATAAGGACAGCAACATCTTGCATTCATGTCTTTATAGGCCAGTCACCTTTAGTCTCACCCCAGTCTAGTGCTCTTCCTGAAAGTCACAACAGAGTTCATTTGAGAGAGTTTCGATGAGTCCTATGCCCAAATAACCAAAAAAGAAAGAATCTTGTTGTTGGCATTATCCCAGCAGCATCTTAGGTACAGGAAAGAACAAAATACTAAAACCGTAGGTACTTGACCAAAGCAGCGTCATGTTCAACAGCATCTAAGCACCCTGCACATGTAGTCATAAGACTGGCATTTTTTTCCAGATGTTCCCAGGCTAGGCATGTAAGTTCTTCTGCTTTTCAGGGACAAGGAAAATATTTCATTTGTTCACAACTCTCCTAAGCATAATGCAGGGACAGGTAGTAGGATTAAGATTCGCAGGTAGTGCTAAACAACGTCTCATTTTCAGTATTCTTCTATGCCAGTAAGTCAAGAGACAAATTCATAGCCCCCACAAGTGTCAGAAAAGAGCAGTATGTCAAGCTTGGTTTTAAATTTTCAGCTAGCACGAGTAACGTGGCAGGATTTTAGTTAAGCCCATGTTCAAGCTGTCTCTAGACAAATTGAAATGTGGGCAAAGGTTTCATGGAGACCATTTCCTCTTTTCCCTGGCCTGCAGGAATAGAATAATCACAGGTAACCCATACCTCTCTCTGCCTCATCCTAGCCCACCCTTGCCTTGCCCAGGACTCTGTACTCTGCCTTCTTTTGTCTGCTAATTCTCTCAACAAAATTCTGCTTATATGGCATTTGGGAATGATCCAAAGCATTTTACTAACAAGTGCCACTATGAGTTATTGAAAACAATAGCTTAGTATGTTTGGCTTTATAAAGTCATTTGCATATTAGTTGATACCTGAGGCAAAAATCTCTGGCTTTGGGGACTGATGAACAAGGATGATATTTCTGAGTTAAAGAAATTCTTTTCTGAGCTGCTTACATCATTCCACATGGGCATCTCAGTCCCTAACTGAGCCCAAAATGGACCACACTGGCATGTTGATATGTAAAAAGAGTTTTTCTTCTGCAAAGCAGAGGCTGAGAAATTACACCTTTATCTCAAGTTTTCTCAGAAGTGCAAAAGTAAATACTTATATGCAAGCCTTTCATACTACATTCTACCTTGAGTCAGAAAGACCTAGGAGATGAGATGGGGTCACGTCTACAGGGATCAGACTTCAACAGACTACCCAACTTCTCAGCATCTAAAGCTATACTCATCAATGCACAGCCCACATAGTCACAGGAGTTGATTCTGAGTAACAAGAAAAGCTTGTACATAAAAAGCTTAATGAGATCCTTCTTTCAATACACAGAAACTCTTATCTATGAACAGTTTGGGGAGGGAAGCATCAACCATTATGACACAAGTAACTAAGACGTACAGAACACAATAAGACATTGAGATGGAGATCTTGAATGGTTCAACTGATAAGTCAATTCAACAAATGTTTTTCAGGACACCTTTCTATAATCAACCCCAGATCAGGTGCTGGAAGTACACAAATGGACAAGAACTATCCCTATGAAACATGCAAAATAAGGGGCCAACTAAATTCTTATTTAATGGATGAACAAAAAGAGAAAGGAATGGCTCTCTTGACTTAATTCCTTGCTCTGTTCACACTCATCAGGGAACAAAAGAGGCTATCCACATTAGCCTACAGCCTGTGAAAACATGGCCAAGCTTCTGAAATCAGTTCCTTAGTCTGTTTTGTGGACTAATTCAATTCTCCTACATAAAAGCTAATCAAGCCAGGCTGCTAAGAATGATGTCCATCAGCATCAAAATTCTTAGAAAGAAATTGTATGGATGACTGAACTAATTTACATACTTAAGAAAATTGTGAACACTTTCTTGGCTCTTCAATATTTGAAGCTGCATTGAATTCTTGTTCAACTTAGTCCCACAGTTGAGATAAATGGGTGATGGAGTAATTATATATAGGCTTGGCATTTGGCATTTGGCATTGGCAGTACAGTAGGTTTTGTACAGGCTAAAGTCTATTTAAGCTGGAATTAATATAATTATATATAATGTTGACAGATTATGACATTTCCCTGTTAAGACACTATACAAACATTCCAATAATTTGCTAGCTTTTGAATTTGTAAAAAATAAATTAAATAAAATCTCAGGAGATGTTGCTAATGTGGTAACTGGAATAGAGGTTTCAAAAGCACAGGGCTCAGGAAATAACAGTCAAAGAATAATGTACTTTAAGCCAAAACATATAAAGTAGTAAATGAGTATTTAGTACTTACCACAAGACTGCTGTCCAGAGACAATCTTTTTCCAAAGTCCCTTTTCTGGAGCTGTCTCTTTCCCTCCATGAGTGAAGTTATTTATTTTCCTTTGTGACTTATAAGAATCCCTTGTTTCTTTCCAGGGTCACTGCAAAAAGTGAACATGTGTTTTGTTATCCAAGTGCAGTGTTTAGACACTTAGTTTTCAACTCTATAACCAGAAACAAGTGATGAAGCCAAAAAGATACCCAGACCCAAGTGATGAGTGTAGAACTAGGATCTCTCTACTGAAAAGACCTCTCTGGGTTGCAAATGTCAGGGTTGTATTTTTGGAGGCCCCTGTGTTTTCATAGGTTTTGCTAATGGAGTTGGGGAGTGGGTGTGCAGGTTGAATCAGCAGACTGTGGAAAAAGGCAAACAGTCCATTTCATGCCACACTTGTTCCACTCCAGTCCTCTATCAGCCAGAATCATTGTTACTGTGCACGTGCTGTCTGCAAATTCCACAAGATCAAATTGACCAAACCAGGTTCCATAACCAAAAATTATTAAGTCCAAAGCCCAACAAAGGGAAACTGAAACATGCGCACTATTGTCAATATTTAATAAAAAATATGCCATTCAGAAATATTTGAGGAACATTATAAGATATATTTGTTTTAGGAGGAAGGATTCAAAAAGAATGGTAGATGATGTCATTATTGCCAATGAGTATTTAGGGAACACTCGCTGAATTTCAACATAGAGTTCATCCCTGCACTCTACTGAGATTAGCTTGTTCTAGAAAGGTGAAGTACCTTGCTTATTAGAGATGCACTCTGTGTATAAGTGCTAGCTTCCAGTTTTCACTGAATGCAAAAGGCTTGAAAGGAAAGAAATAGGGTTGAGTCTATGTTTTCTTACCCATTAGCCAAGTAACTTTGGATAAGTCACAGCTTCTCTGACATTCATTTTCCTCAACTGCAAATAACATGACTATGGCAATGAAATGATGTATGTGAAATGATTTAGAGGTAACAAGTTATAACTTATATGTAAATTATAATTGCACACAGATTAAACCTCCAAACAGTTAACCTTAATTATTAGTCCATGTAATTCAGTATATCCTGCATGACCAGAAGGCACCGGGAGATGCAGAGGCTGCTCATAATCCTCATAAACATCACCATGGTGCTGCTGAGACAGAAGACATGAACTTAGTAAAATGCTATACTAACAAGTACTTTAGGAAACCAGAAGGAAATCGATTTTGCCACTCTCAATCGCCCCAAGTGTGATGTGGACCAAACAGTACTGGCCTCACAGCCACAGAAGATGGCCCCCTTCGTTCAGCTTCCTCCATTGACAGGATCGAGACAACTGTAACGCAGCAAGGTTTGCCCAGAGAACAGCCTTAGAAACCGATGGACTCACTTTCTAGACTCGGCTCACTCCTCCACCTTTGTCACTTTAAATCTTCATTTTGGGAACACTAATCTCAATATATCACTGGTCTACTTAGAAATTCCTAGGAGCACACTCAGAATTAAGGAGAAAATCCAAAACTTTCAGCACCATTTTCCAGGCCTACTTCCTGCCAACTAGTCTTTTATAATCCCCAGGAACACGAGGCACATTCCTGAGAGCGTGCTTTTGATTATAATTCTCACCTTCACTCTAGTACCTGGCTCAGGCCCCATCTCCTTCACAAGAACTTGCTGGAGAATTCCATTTAGTAATGATTCCTTTTCTCTCCCAATTTTCAATGGAGTCTTTAGAGACTTACCTTATTAATCACTTTAGTCGCCTAGTTATTTAAATACAGTAAGTTTTTATTATATGGTTGTTGCTAGAACCTAGCAGTTAAAAGCAAAGAAACAGGCCAGAAATTACTTTTTCATAAAACAAGTTAATTCTGTGTAGTTATTATAGGTGAAGGTATTAGTCAACTGAAATTTGGTTTGAGGGCCTGCCTTTCCTTCCCCGTTTCAGCTGCCTGCTTGGCAGCCCCAAGCCTTACCTCAGTGACTATATTTTCTATTGGCTCAAAACCTCTGTAATGATGAATTTAGCTAAAGAGACTACTTGAGCCACTATATTTACCTCTCTATCAAGAACATTCTCCCTTAATTATTAATCCCCAAGAGGATGGGGATTTGATAGGTCACAATGGATTGCCCTTTGGCACTTAGCACATACATACCGAATGCCTACCATATAGAACACCTAGTCTTTAGATGTTGGTAACACAACCATAAGAAACCTTTAAGAGAGCTTAGGATAAAGATACGCTGCATAAAGGAACCTAGTAATCTCAATTAATGTAAACTTTATATGCCGTAACATGAGCTAAGGTTAATGACATCAACAAGAATGAAAAATGGGATAGGGGAATTGGAGGAGCAGGGAGTGGGGAGGGAAGGCGATTAAATAAACTAGCTGTGGTATGTACGTGTTACTATTCCTCAGGATGATCATAAACTTTATGAACTGCAAACATGTACCAATAAAATATACAATAAAATTTTAAAAAGCTTATAAGAAAGATTATGTCTACATCTTCATGGAACTTACATTACAGGAGCAGTATAGAAACAATAAATAAGCAGAGAAATAACTCCAAATTGTGATAGGTATCTACATGAAGGAAATAACCCCTAGGAGGTAGTATAATAAAGGGTCAAGCGTGTGGACAGCAAAACACTGTGGATAGAATGGTTAAAGTAGAAGATACGCAAACAGATAAGTATATGTCATTTCAGGCAAAGGGACAGGGAGAAGGTGCTAGAAAGAGGCTTTGTGTACCGTAGAAGTGAGGACCAAACTCTCAGAAATGACAAAAACTGGGAAGAGCATGTGTGATCAAAGGGCTAAATTGTAGGTGACAATTATGAGCTTTTGTTCTAAACATAAAGGCTAATCTTAGGGTTATAACCTTACTTTGCTCTTTAGCAGCTGATAATATTAAACAAATTATTTAACCGATTTAAGCCTGAGTTAATTCATCAACAAAATGTCATTTGTTGTGATGATAAATAAGATATTGCAGTAAAGAATTTTGCTAATGATTGGCACACAGTAGGTAAGATTTAAATACTATACACATTGATCGTTGCTTCTGGCAAAGCTGATTAAACTCTAGCTGTTAGATTTTATGTCCCATTACAGGCTGATGAGGCTGTCATTATGGGAAAACTGGATCCTTTTGAGTGTTCTTAAATAGTCTGGCCATCCTATGTGAAAAGCTAATTCAATTCCTTACATGGTCAATTTCCTTTCAAGTGTTATAGTGTCAATAATATAGGCAGAAGTAATAATCAAATTATGTCAGTTGCATCGACATTCACTGACTGTAAAGGTACAGACCAATGAAAACAACAATACAGCTATGGTACTACATCCTAGCCAATTATCAGCCTCTATATATGCACCCTAAAGATGCAAACATTTGTGAGTTAAACTGTAAAACAGTCAGGAGAAAGATCAGAGTAAGAGTACTGAAATGAACCAAAAAGAAATCCACTTAAAAGAAACAAAATGGCAACCAGGATGTGGAAATATAAAGTGAGTAGTGGTCTGGAAAGGAAAAGTCAGGCAAGCTGATCCTCATACACCATCTCTGGCATTGTTCAGAACAGGTACTGCTGACATACATCCAGCACAGACCACAGGTCTGGAGCAGGGACAAGAATGTCAGATCTCAGATTCAGGTGATCACACAAGCCATTTATACCATGCAACTAATTTAACTTGCCCAGAAACTACTTTGACAAAGCAGCTTTCCAATTTTATTTGACTCCTACATGATTTTACTTGTAGAAGAATTTGCAGACCAGCAAATATAAGCACGTAGTCTTTGAGAAAGTCATATTTGAATATAAATTTGCAATTTGGTATACATAATTGTTTACATTTATTATTTACACATCTGGTCAGTGAAATAGTCATCTTGGGTTTCTGTAACAGAATAACGAAGAGCCATTGGCATAAACCAGAGACATTTATTTTCTTATGTTATGGAGGCTGGAAGTGTAAGATCAAGATGCTAGCAACTTTGGCTTCTCCTGAGGCCTCTCTCCTTGGCTTGCAGATGACTACCAACTAGCTGTGTCCTCACATGTCCTTTGTTCAGTGTATGCACATCCCTGGCAACAACCCCTCTTTTTATGAGAATACAGTTGGATTAACCCCCCCATGAACTAATTTAACTGTAATTATTTCTTTGAATGATCTGTCTCCAAATTTAGTTACATTGGAGGTTAGAACTTCAAAATAGGAGTTTTGGTGGTGGTGGCAGGACACAATTTAATTATTATATATGAGTCTTTTAATGATCAAATTCCTAAGTATGAAGATCTGAGGGAAATCACTGGGTGGCTGTAGTTATTCCCAGACCACCTTTCTTCTGTTTATTTGAGTATTGGAACTTATAATATTGCCTCCACTCATTGTGCCCTGCTATATTCTTCTCTCAGCTACGTAGGTGAAAACTACAATGTTGAGAATTCTTGGTCAGTAGGTTGATTTGATTTCTGCCCACGGGAACCAGGGAGAGGAGATTTGAAGGTGACAGAAAGGGAAAATCCATTCTAATTTCATCTCTAGCAGAGCAGCATCAATAGCAAATGACTATAGGTTCCAGAAACTTCTGTGATTCCTCTTAATATTTTGGATCAGAAAGGCCAGTTAGCAGGGTCCAAAACTCTCAATTACCAATCAAGGTGATCTGTATCCTAATCACTAACCTATCTTTTTTGCTCCTCCACCCACTGCAACAGCTTCACAAAAAAATTCCTTATATTAAATCCATCTCTGCTGGAAACATCTTGAGTAGTTTCTCCGTTCCAGGCTGCGCAATGTTTGATGTGTACCCCCTGGAGATGCCTTTGGTGATGCAGCCAACCTGTTCTACTCAGGAAACACCTGCATTCCTTCTTTGGAGACTTTGGAGACAACAGCCTGAGAGCAGGGACAGAATTTTATGTTCTTCCCTAAACGGTGCAATGCCTAATGCATAGCATTATGGGAGACACTGCATGAGCATTTATTATTTGGATAAATGAATGAATGAATATTTATAACTGTCTTTGTAAACTCATAAAAAGCGGAACAGAAAATAAAGTTGTTAAAGTAACTGTGCACACTGCACATACTCATAACTATGAAG